GAAATTTATTTAAACATTAATCAATCTATTGAATGGCTAGAAAACATTGATTTGTTAAGATATGAATGAGAAAGAGCAGTGAATTAAAATCTACAACGAACATAGAACTGGTTTCAGCAGATAATAAATTGAAATAATTTAATTTAATTTAAATAATAAACATTAAATATTACATTTGTAGCACATTAATTTAACGCCCAACAGTCCAGAGGTCGCTGGTGTCGCTGGAGGCGCTTCAACCTCCTGCGACCCATAAAAACTGGAAATGATTTTTAGATAAATCAAATAATTAATTGTCATTTTTTGTTGTTATTTAGCAGAAAGCATTGAGATAGTACTTTTCACATTTGTAGTCAACATTTGGCAATTTTCTGCCAAATGTTTGTCCATTCCACTTTCCAGTGCCCCATCGAGTGTTAATGCGAGTTAATTAACGCTGTGAATAGGGAATCAATTGGAGGATCTCTTAATTGGCCAAAACCAATGACAACTGCTGGCCGCCTAAAAAGTTGGATTGGCTGGGCGCCTCGACAGCCAGCCAGCCAGTCAGCCAGCCAGCCAGCCAGTCAGCCAGCCAGTCAGCCAGCCAGCCAGCCAGTCAGCCAGCCAGCCAGCCAACCAGGACATCTGCTGGCCACCCAAGTGCAGAGCGCCTTGGGCGCTCATGCTGATTAACGCCTGGAATTAACGAGCATTTAGTTGGGCAAAATACCAACAAAAGAAAAAGCTGAATGAGCCCGAATGGGGAGGGGGGCAATAAAGGATCGCGGCTCGCTGTCTGAAGCTGGTAAGGGCGTCGTCGATAGCGACAGGACATTTGTCCTGAGCCGCATTGCATTGCGTTGCGTTGCGTTGCATGTCTGGCGGTAATAAAAAATTCATATTTAAAATGCATAACAATGAGACGTGAATAAGAAACGTGAACGAGAACAAAAAGCGAGCGACACGCTAAACTTAGACAGCGTTAGGAGCACAGAAGCAGGGGCAGGGGCAGCAGCAGGAGCAGGAGCAGGAGCAGGACCCGAGCCAGGAGCAGCAGTTAATGGGAGCAGGAACAGACTGTGCACCCACAAGCAAGGGGGTAGGATCGTACATATATATATATATATATATATGTATATATATATACTCGTAGTACTCGTGTGTGCACCTTTTCTTTTCTTATTTTATTTTATTTTTTTTTTATTTTTCATATTATTTTTTTTTTGGAAATTAAGCTGGAATTTTGAGTGGACCCCGAATTGGCACGCGCGCTGTCCTCGCCATCGTTGCCGTTGATCCTTGCACTGCTTATCCTTAATTTCGTTTACTTTTTGCTCCCCGGCTGTCGTCCCGTTTGCCGTTGGAGTTCGCGTAGTTGTCGTTCCTCTGCATTTGGCTGGACAGGTGCAAACTCTTTTTTTCTTTCATTTTTTTTCTTCGGTTTCAGTTGTTGTTCCGTGTGTGTGTGTGTGTGTGTTTCTTGGCCTGCCAGTGCCTTGACTCAGGTCCCTCTCCTCCCCCTCCCCCTCGCTCTCCCTCTCTCTCTCTCTCTCTCTCTCTCTCTCTCTCTCTCTTACGCTCGCTGTGTGTGTGTGTGTGTGTGTCTATCTCTTTCGGCCGGCCTCAGTCACTGGCCTGGCATTAATTCGCTTCTTTATTTTTCGGTAATTACCGAAAATGTTCCAAGTGACCGAACGAATCCTCTCGTTCCCATTCACGTCGACGCCACCGCCACCACCACCACCACCACCAGCACCAGCAGCAGCAGCACCAACAGCGCCAGCGCCAGTTTGCACTTCGTGCTCTGATCCTGCGACAGCCGGATTATGGGACGGGCCGCCAGCCAGCGTCAGAGGACAGCGCTGATCCTTAGCGCTTGATTGCGATTTCACGTACCCATTCCCGTTCCCATTTCGGCTGTTCGCATATTTGCTACCCCGACAGCCGTGCGATCATTGACTCTTGTCAGGCAATGCCGCCTCTGTCTGTCCGTCTGTCTGTCTGTCTGTCCGTCTGTCCGTCTGTCTGTCTGTCTGCACGTCTGCCTGCCTGTGGTCTGAGGATACCGACACCGAACGGCGAGAACCGAGCACATTGCACATTTGGAACAGCAAATTCACCTCAATTACTTACATGCCAATGCCAGCTATATCATCGCTGCAAGTTTACACACATCTCTGCAGACATACACACATACATATACATATGTAATAGATGTGTACAAATTGTTGCTCATTACTCAGTTATGTGGCACAAATCAATGATGATGAGAAGATCATGACTTGATTTACCTCAACAGAGGAATCCATATTAATATTGATGTATGCATTTTTGTCATTACATTTAACATTATTTAGCGACCCCAACCAAATACAGTCAGTATTCATCTACATATACAATTAGAAATGTTTTTTGTTTTCTTTTGCTTATTTTGTATAATTAATATTTGGTTGAGTGACATTTGTTGTTGTTGTTGATTTTGATGTGAGCGAGGCACAAGAATGGCGACAACGATTGCGTTTGCAAAATTTAATCATTTTATTTGCACAAAATTCGTAAAATGAACAGCAACAACAACAATTGGGAGTGGCACGCTCTTTTGCTCTTTCTCCCACAATGTGTGTGTGTGTGCGTTGTTTGTGTGTGTGTTGTGTGTGTGTGTGTGTGTGTACAGTGGGCAGCAGATGCGCAACAAATTTAAATGCTAAAATATAAAATACAAACAGACAAAGAAGCCAAACGAAATTCATTAAGCTTAGCAACAACGGCGAAAACGCCAACGAAACGTGCAAAAGAAAAGAGAAGCCGAAAGAGAAAGACAACAGAGACGACAGATAACGCAAATGTTTTACTTCTCTTGCGCTCTCACTGCACAGATTGGCGCTCTGACATTGGCACCTACTACTAATCTACTACTTTTTTTTTTTAGCTGTTTGTGGCCGCAAGGCAACTAAGCACAGCAACTGGCATCGCATTAGCAACGGCCATTTTGTAGCAGTGCCAACGAACAAAAACAATGTCCAATCGGCAAACGCAACGACGCCATTTACAACAACATAAATAACAACAACAAAAACAACAGCATCATCGAGAAAGCCAAAGTGCAATTTGCAAGCACAGCACATAGCAAAAGCAAAAGCAAAAGCAAACACAAACACAAAAGCAACGGCAAAAGCACGTGCATTGCTCGCCTCTCTATCGCACTGTCTGTGTTTGTATGTGTGTGTGCGTGTTTGTTTGAGAGAGCGTGACTGACAGACAGAGACAGAGAGAAAGAGAAAGATAGTCTGGGATTGTGGGTGTGGAAGTGGGAGCGTGTGTGAGAGTGCAGCTTAACGACCCTTTGGTTGGCTGACGCCTAAACTGGCATTGCTTCATGTATTCATATGTACAGATGAATGTTTTCTGTGTGTGCGTATGTGTGTGTGTATGCAAGCATGCAGGCAAATGAAAGCATGTGCTTGTGGAGGATGGGGAGGGGGTGTGTGGGTTACTTGGCACATTTTGTTCTTTCTTTTTGCATAAGCGAAATTCAAATTCGACGAATACGAATTTTACTGACCGTTAGTTACAACAAGATTGACTCGTTTTCCATTGTTGAGCGCCCAATTTTTTTTTGGGCAGCTGAAAAGCTGGCCAAACTTGAAAAAAATAAAATAAAATAAAAATAAGCTTCTTGGCTAATTATGAATAACAAAAGCGCCAGCCAGTAGCGGTCATCTTAAAGCCACAGCTGGCCCAAAAAAAAAAAAAAAAACAAAACACAAACTCACAAAACTCACATTCAAACCTAATTCGCATTCCATTGTCCATTGTTGAAGATCTTCGTGGTGTGGCAGCTGCCAGGACTGGGCTGGACTGGGCTTGGGATGCTGTACGGCCGGCGGTTCACACCCCGGACTGGGACTAGTTGCTGACCAGTTGACCAGTTGACCAGTTTGCTGCATGTCCTGTGTCCTATTGACAGCTGTGGCACCAAAACTAGAAGCTAGCTTTTTGTTATGTTTCCTTTTGTTTAGCCTGACGACCGACCATTCATATGCATATGTGCTGCATACATGGGTGTCTTGCCACATATCACATTTCTGACACTCAAAGTGGCTTTCAAGGATCAGCAAAACATTTTCGCAACAGATTTTTCGCACTTTGTTCATTTTGTCTTAACTCGTTTTGAGCAGTTTATGCAGTGGGGTGTCGCCACCTGGCGGCATTTGTCGATTTGTCTACCATGTCAAGTGATCTCCGTGTGTGTTCGTTAAATGGGTGCATGTCCATACTATTTGGCAGGTGTGCTTTTTTCTTAACGTTCGTTGAGTGGCGAAGCTTTTCATTCATTCCGAAAGCAAGCAGTGCAAAAGCTGCAGTTAAATACTGCAATAACGGAAGCTTTTCAATACAGTTGAACTCATTGATAAAGTACACCTAGTGAAGCTTTTGCAAATGTTACAAATAAAAAACGAGAGCCAATAATTCTCATTTTGGTTTATCTCGTGCGGTTGAGAGACTGCTCGTAATGAGATCTATGAATTTCTTTTATGTTTCCAGTCACATACCTTTCTGATACAGAGAGAAAAATGAGTGGTTTTGTTTTGCCTTACATAAAGATGTATTTTATTTTATTTTTTACTTGGATTAACTTAAGACGCTTACAAACTGATTGATTGTTGTCTGATTGCAACATATACACATATTTAAGTTCTAATTTTTCTTATTTATAGCGCGCAATGAATGCGTTTTCAATTACAAATAGTCACACATAAATTGGTGTTTAAAATAAAAGGGATACAAAGCAAAAAAAAAAGCAAAAAAATTCATATATACAATTTGTATTTTTTTTTTGTTTTCTGGTTTTTTTTTTACATATTTTGCATAATGAAGTTTTTTCTTAGCCATTTTTGCTGCTGTTGCCAAATATTTGATCCTCATGCAATTGCTTATAATTATACCAATATTATGTGTGTGTGTGTGTGTGTGTGTGTGTGTAACGATTCCAATCAAATATATATATATATATATATATATAATATATAATATATGTTTGTGTGCTTTGTTTGTTACTAACTCATTTGATTTGACAGTTTTAAAACGGGTTTTAACAAGACTCTGTCCGAGTGTAAACTCCATAAAGAATATGATCTTTATACTAATTTAAATAAACAACAAGAGAGAACGGTGCAGTCGGGCGTGGCCGACTGGGAAATACTTGAATACCATAAGTAATGCCAGCTAGAAGAGTTTCCCAGTAACCTTCCTTCCAAGTTTGGTAACTGTGGCTCTTCAATTGCGGGAGACTTTGGAGGCTTTTGGGAATTGTGGCGCGATTGTGGAACTCATTTTTAAGAGTTTCGAATAAAGTTGCGTTTAGACAGACGGACATTGCATAGCATATATATATTGCATCTTAGGCATCAAAGTATAAAAACTAAAAGCCATGAATTAGTTGAAGTAAAAACAATCAGCGTTTGTTTATAAAACGAGCTTGTAAATTGTGTGAAAACAAATTAAGCTAGTCTTATAAACAAGCGCTGATTATGTGATCCACAAATGACTAATAGTAGACAGGGGCGTACCCAGCTGTTCGTACAAGAGGGGTGCAGGGGCGAAACAAAAAAGGGAAGCGACCCGAACTGTTAGGTTCTTCAATCAATTTGAAAATATCAGTTGATCAAGTTCAAGATGTAGGCTGGTCAATCGCCTCCTTCCCTGTCACGCCCCCCCCACCTCCTGTGTACGTTCCCTTTGCTAATATATGTGTGTGTGTGTGTGTTTTTAATATTAGGATTATGGTGTGGTTGTTGTTGCCCATTGGGCATGGGCCCTTTACTTAATAAAGGCCTCTGGTGGTATTTTGTTTTCCTTGAAGAGTTTCTCAAACACAAATGCGGCATGGTTGAAATCCCAATTTGTCTCCTCCAAGCATCTGAAAAAAAACAAAACAAACAAAATGTTATAAAACAAAGAACATATAAGATTCTCCCTCTCTCTCTCTCTCTCTTTCTCTCTCTCTCTCTCTTTCTCTCTTACTTGCGGCTCCAATCCAGATTCATTTGGCTCTGCGCACTCATGGCCTGCACCATTTGCATTTTGGTGGCATCACTGTGCGGACCTGTTGTGGCCGCCGTCACCGTCGCCGATGCAATTGGGCTGGTGATGGTGGCAACCGGCGGTGGCAATAAAGCGACCGGCGGTGGCAATAGTGCAACAGCGCCGGCACCGCCAACCGCCAATCCACCCGGATGCAGACGCCCCTGAATTGAGTTCTCGTTGAGGGCAGAGCTAATTGGAGTCAAGCTGGCGGCGCCGGGCGCTGGCTGGTGCTGCGATCGCTTAAATTCACGCGTCTGTTCCGTCGATGCGCTGGTTATGAAGATCGCCTCGTTTCGAATGCAAAAGCCCGTATTCTGTGGCACGACGACAAATGTGCGCACAAAGTGACGCAGCTCGTATGGCTGCATGGCGATGGGCGTGGTGCTGCCAGCATCGCCGGTTAACTCCTTGAACAGGCCAGTCACCGTGAACACCATCATTTGCGGCTGCCGAAATGGAAATATATTATTATTATTATTAGGGAAGTTGGAATGAAAAGTTGTTTTTCTGCTTGTCTTACATTATAGATGTTCAGATCGACGGTGAAAGTGCGTCGTTCGTGCAACGTGCGTGGCCATTCATCCAATGTGGAGACGCAGGCTAATCGGCCACTCTTCAATAGATGCATACGCAATAGACGCATACGCGAATCGTCCCGTTCGGTGTTCATAATGCGTCGCAGATTGCGATTAAATTTCCAGAAGCTGTTCAATCTATCATAAATCAAGGATCAACATTAGTCAGAGAGTCGAGAATCTGTATGAATGCTGCTGCTGCTGCTGCTGCTGTTGCTTACCTGCCCGCCTGGCTGACCGAGGGCATTGACATGGAGAGGAGTGCATTCTCGTGGTATGCATCCAGCAGTGGCTGGCGATTATTCGAATCGAATATGATGAAGTACTGGTCCAAAAATTGGCGGACAACCTCAGCGCCGGCGCTGTCGCACAAGTAGGATGCCTTTGCCGGTGCCAGCGTGGTCGTTTCACTTAAATCGAAATGCACCTGGGGCAGCAACACTTCCCCATCCTGTATTGTATATTGTTTAAGTTTATATTTAGATTGAATCGCTTACAATTATAGCGTTTATGTTAACCCAAAAATTGTCTCAAAAAAAAAATTGATTTGTTTTGGGAAAAAAATTGAATTTATTGGAAATTCATAAAAGCTGCGCTTGAGCTGACAATTTAATGATGAATCCATAAACGCTGAATCGAAGGCGCATTAAATATATTTTGCAACTTACCAGCTTCATTAGTTTGGGAAATTTACGTCGTACTTCGCTGTAATTAGTTTGGCGGTTGGATGGCGTCCATTTTGTTTGATTGGCATACGGATTAGTGGCACATACATATATACATATGTCAAAGTGTACATATGTATGTGTGTATGTATGTATGGATAGATACATTAGTTAAAAAACTTGATTCAATAATTCACATAGACATAGAAATGTCGCTTTGCTGTGCGCTGTGTGATTTGCAGTATTGAAAACAACTTGCCGCTGAGCTGATTCGCATATGTTTTACAGCAATGTTTCTTAACTTGATTGGTGATTGATTCATTGATTGATTGACTGATATAAGCATCGTATATTGTTTTTGAGGCAGTTGAGCAAGCAGATGCACCTGGCTCATATTTGGCGCATATTATCAAAGCTGGCGACCAGGGCTGGGAAACGTACAACAAGCGACATTATCAAGGAAGCCAAACTTTTAAGCAGCACTTTTATTCTATTTGTTTTTGTTTTTTTTTTTGCTTTTTCTTTTTTCTTAATATATTTTTTTTTGTTGCTTTTTTCTTTCTTTCTTTTTTTCTTCAATAAGCCACAAACGCGTCGCGTCGCACAAAAGCTGTTTGTTGGTTTGTTCGAGTTTCCATAAGTCTCGTTGTTGATCGCACGCGGCATCCACAGGCAGAACACGCAACAAATATGCCAGCCAATCAACGTGCAAATGTTGCACATAGCTGAAGGGCGTGGCAAGCAAAGCAAACGCAACCGGTTGATTTTGATTTTGACACGGCCGCCTTCGCCAGCATGCACAGTAAGTTGTCGCAGTTGTCGTCGTCGTCGTCGTAGCTGTCCTTGGCAGCAGTGTGTCTGCCACAGTGCGTATGTCCGTCAGTATATTTGCATGCTTGGCGCGCGCACCATTTTTATATGTATATATATATATATTTGTAACACAGTGCAACCGCTGACAAGGACGCCGTCGCCATCGCCGTCGCCGCCGCCGCCGCCGCCACCGCAACTTAAACAACAGCCAAACACAAGAGCGCAACACACAATTCGAGATTTGCAACTGCAACCGATGTTGAATCGGTCGAGCGCAAGCATGCGTGCGTGCGTGCGCCTGTGCGCAATGCTGTGCGGTGAGCGGTACGCGGTACGCGCACGCGTCCATGCGTCCGTGCGTCAATGCGTGCGCTGCTTCGCCTTCGGCCTCTCAATTCGCGGCTGCTTGTCGCATTCGACGACAAAGCGGCACTTGAGAGTCCAACACACCTCCTGCCGCATGTCTGCCCGCATTGTGGAAGTGCCAACGCGCGATTAAGTCCTGTCTCTGCATCGTCATGTGGCAACATCGTCCAACTGTCAGTCAGTCAGTCTGTGTTGTGTCGTCAGCTTTCCAGGCGCGACTTGTTTGAATTTAGCTTGTTTTTTTTTATGTTCTTTTCTTTTTTTTTTTTACATTTTTTTTCTTTATTGAAAGAATGTTTTTTTTTTTATTTCTTTTGGCTTTTTTTGTGCCTTTTTTGCCGCCACCGTTAAAAGTTTGGTTTCATTTTAGGGGCCTATTTAAGGCGTACTGCAAGAGTTTTCAAATTAAATTAATTTTCCCATGCCAGCAGATGCATTTGCTTGCTCAAAATGCATTGGAATTTGCGAGAGCAGCGAGAGGACCACGCGAGCAAGTTGAATTTTCAAAATTGATTTTCATTTGGCGACAATGCGCACAGCAAAACAGAATATAAGAAATAGGGATTAGATAAGAACAAGGATTCTGTCGAACGGACACGGCGCATCCTCAACAGTTATGCATAAGAAGCCTTGTCCCAGTTCCCACGCTGATATTTCGGTGACTGCGCTGCTGCACGGTTAGAAAAACAGGAGCAACGACAGATCACACCATAGTATACCTGGTAAAATTCTGGGCATCCTTGTAGCGCGAACGGCACGGATTATTGCGCAAGACCAGCTCGACAATTGGTAAATTGCGAAAGACCAACAGATGCGCCAACGATGGAAGCTGAAATCAAGCAGCAGCAGCAGCATCAGTTTAACATTTGAGCAGTTTGGGAAATGAAGTGTTCGAGATTGTCTGAGATATATCCACACATACACACCTTATTATCGCCCAGATAAAGTATCTTCAGATGGGGCAGACGCTTCTCGATGCCTTTGAATGATTCCACGGTGGACATGCTGTTATCATTGAGATTGATGGCCTCCAGATCAGGAATGTTCTCGCATATGATATCCAGTGCGGTCGACATGACATTCACCCGGAATAGCGGGCAAAATATGGGCTTCAGATCCAAATCGGTGTGAAAGCGCGACAGATCGAGTGCCTTGGTCTGCACGTTATATCTCTTGGCCATGACGACCTTCATCTTCGTCTTGAACTCCTCATTGATGGTGACCAAAGGAACACCATTGCGTACGCGTGGCATCAGACGAAAACCATCCGGGAGCTGTGCATGCCTGCCCAGCTGTATTATACGCTCGGCCACCTCAAAGTCATCCGTGAAGAAGATGGCACAGTTGCGCTCGAAACGCCAATATTGTGGCACAAACACGTGCGGTGACATTGCCGCCAACAAGGCGCGCAGCAGCGTTTCCTTGTCATAGATGTGACCATTTTGTATCTGTGTAGCAGAGGAAAGAACGAAAACCAGTCAATATACATATATAAACTATATATGTGACTATATTTGATTTGAATACGCAAACAATATTAACTCTATAATTGTAATAATGCTGTACATGAACAACGACATTGAACGCATTCAATATAATTGATTCGAATCAGAATTCGTTGCATTATAATTTTGTGAATATTTTATTCGTAACTAATTTAATGCAACAGACTTGAATTGAGCGAATCGCTAGACAAAAAGGAAAAAACGAAAAACAATAAACAAAAACAATCGAAAAGAAAAGAAATAAAATAAAAACTGAAACTGAAACTGGAAGTGGAAGTGGAACAAGCACAATTAGTGTGCCACTTTTCCAGTTAACGTTTATTTAGCTATCTATATATATATGTACGATATATAGTGTTGTTGCTATTGGATTGTATTTACTACATTTTCGTTGCTCATAACGTGCTTTACTCCCAATTACTCAATATTTGCATACCAATTCTGATTCAGAGCCGGTGCTGACTCGCCTGGGGCCTGCCTCTTTGTGTTTTAATTACTTTTGGGTGCGCTTATCTTCAAGTGTCTATGATTTAATTATGAGCATTTTGATTATGATTATGACGCACACACACAAACACAAACACACAAACACACACACACACATACAATTACACATACAGATACACACCCACATAGACCACATTAGTTTGCTTTATGCTCGTAATTGCTTTTTCCTCTCCTTTGAAGAGCTCTACTCATAAAATTCCATTGCCAATGCCGAATATACCCGAAAACTCTGGCCTGCACTGTTATTGCTGTTCTGGATATCTGAAGACTCCATAATATATATATATATATTACAGTGGTCGCTCAGTAATTACAATTGCCCAGCAACTATTGCCAATCGATCACTCATTTTTCCTACTTTCTGCAGCAAATTTCTCAAGGTGTCAAATAAAAATTGATTTTATTTTGGAAATTATAATGTCGTAGTCAGTGCAACAATATGTTAATTTTAAATGTAAGCTTCATATATATATCTATGTATTAATTATATCAAATAGGAAATTTGTCTAAGATTAATTTAAAGCAAAAATGTTTGCTGTATTTAATCATTTTTTTGCTTTAGATTGTTGAAGGGGAAAACTTCGATTGAGTCTCAAAAATTGGTATTTCCTGAATTGCGAGCTTAAAGATTTTGCTTAAGGGAACATTTTCTTTCTTTCTTTTTTTTTTTTTTACAAAAAGTAACTTTTAGGTAAATGATATAGTGAACAAAAAATAGTTTGGAGCTTTGTTCTTCTCTGTGGGGTCCTTCATAATTGAATTGATATAGCTAAATATAGCTATACTCCACCTTTATTTATATATACATATATATTTATATATGTAGTATAGTATTTTATTGTATTGACATATCCATTTGGGGTCATTAGATAAAAAAAGGCAGTCTATGCTCACTCGCAGAGCCCCATTCACTTTCGAGTTTGACTGCGCATTAATGCGATAAATTAATAAATATATTATGGAGTATTACTGTTTGTTTATCAACACTCATTATGCCATTTGGGCACTGGCCATATTCAAGCCATGCTGAACGGGTCTTAAAGTCCTTACGTGTTTTCCAATCAGAGAGCTTACCGATGGCTTCTGTTGTGGCTCGCTTGAATTGCTGCTTGCTTGATAAGAGAGCCCAACACGCATTTGTTGGGGTACTCACTGAATAAGTGAGTCAATTAGGGTCTTGGACGGAATCCAATTTAACAATGTTATCTAGCATATTAAATATTTGAACTAACTTTAGTAATGCTAGCTGCCAGCTGTCTACGCCGGAACAGATGATCTGAACAGATATAGGAGACTGTTTGCACTTCTTGCCAGCGGCTATGAGACTTTTGGCTAAGAACAAAAAAAAGAAGAAAAGAAAAGTAAAAGAAGACATGACTCCTATGGGCAATTTATTTTTGGGCTCCAACTGTGACTACGATTCGGAGAGGGTGTGTGGGATGAGTGGATGGGTGTATGGGCGAGTGAATGAGTGCGTACATGACTCGGTTTAGTTGCGCCCGTACATTAAATATGTATATGTATATGTTTGTGGGTATGTGCATATGTATTTAATAAGTATATAAATCACGCTTTTGTGCACAACAATGAGAAGCACAAGCGAATTGAGAGACATTTATTTCTAGAATTGATATGACTGATGACGCCGACGCGTCAGCAGCAGCAGCAGCAGCAGCGACAACAACAACAACAACAACGGCCACATTATTAAGGCAGTATCAGCGAAGTCAACTGCGACGGCTACGGCGACAGCGGCAGCGGCAGCGGCGTCGACTGGGCTGACTAACAAGCGCGCACCGCCAAAAGCAACGCCATTCGCCAGCCAACAGCCGTGCGAGGTTAGAGCAACAGTACAGAAAACCTAACCACCCACCTAAAACCCACAAGCCAAACCACCGATTCCCCCCCTCGCCCGACCAAAAAGAAACAATTATTTTCCCATATCAATTGGACTACGGCAGTGACAAAGCCAAGCTAAGCAATATGGGCAGCTGTTGCTCAAAGGATTTGGATGATAAGCGCTCCTGGAGCCCCGATGAAACCAAAAATGGCGTAAGCAGTACAATTGAAAGCATTGCATTTTACACGAACTAATCAAACGATCTTGCATATCTACATCTCTCTATATATATATGTATGTATGTATGTATGTATGTATGTATGTATGTATGTATGTATGTACATTTGTATAGAGCACCACATCGACCATCATAGCACAGCCCATAGATAATGTGGGCAGCACAGGTGTGTTCACGCTAACCCGCCACACATCAACAGCGACATCAACAACGACAACAACGGAGAAACAACAACAGCATCAACAGCAACATCACAAAGATGTGAACACAACAAATACAGCTGATTCTGATCCTGATGCCAAGGAGTAGCCCAACTTAACATACCAATACATATCCAATGCTGTTTGTTTTTTGTTTGTGTTTTGTTTTTTTTTTTTTTTTTGATAATTCAACATTTGTTTACCTACCAAGTACATACATATATGTATGAATGTACATATGTACATATATGTATGTGCATATTGAAGTTTGTGCTCCATGTATAAATTATACTTTGTTTTTTTTTTTAACAAAAAACATTTGTGACATGTGTGTTTGCTTGGAAAGAGGAAGAACCAGTGCGTGTACGCTTATACATAAGTGTGTGTGTGTGTGAGTGTGTGTGAATATTTTGTTTAACAATGAATAATCCGTCTTTGTTGACTAGCCAAGCTATCGAGTACTGTTATTAATATGAATTATACTCAAAACATGCCCAAAGCAAAGTTAAACTTGAAAATAAACGATTAAATGAATGCGATTCACTCACTCACTCAACTGATTGTTCATTTACAATACAAATAAACAAACGAAACGAATCCATAAATTGCCGGTCCGATAAGAAATGTAACCCTGCCACCCACATCCCCCCCTCCCCTAGCCCAACCACCCAATCGAAAGCAGCTGCACACGCATTGCTTGGCGATGACATCAGGGCCGCCTTCGATGCAAAGAGAAGTCTAGAAATGAGCGAAAACACACACACAAACACACCACACACACAAACACACCACACACACACACACACAGAGAAATATAATGATAAAGAGAGTGTAGAATGAACATGCCTCATTCTGGATAGCTTCATGACTCAGTTTCCTATCATCAGCCAATGTGCCAAATCTCCCATTGGGATTTTCTCCAATCGACTTGGCCTTGGACAAAAACAAAAACAAAAACAACGCGCAAATGACTCAAGACACATTGCCAGCCACATTGTAAACTGTAATATGAACGTGCGTTTTGATATGAATGCACAATGCAATAATAATTATAACAATAACAATAACAATAACAATGCTAATGCTAATGCTAATGCTAATGCTAATGCTTAATACACGTGACAGACACATAATTTACATATTTACATATTTGATTCGCCCATTTGCATTTTATTACGATTTAACAATGTGATGCAAAGCATGTTTTGTGTGTTTTCCTGACAGCAGTAAACAAGTCGTAAGAATAGAGAAAATATTCAATTTGCAATCGTTTGCAAATCATTGCAATCTAATAGAAGAAATGGCAAATTACACAACATTTGTTGCTGTACAGGCAAATTAAGGACACATCATTATTAATCATTATAATAGTTTTTGTAGAAACAAAAATTCTCCAGTATATTTAAATTAGTGTTTTATATTACATTTAAATTGAGGATGCACAACGTATAGCAACGGTTCTTTCGACAAAGTAGGGTTGCCAACTGATTGTAAAACTGACTGGTATACAACACGCAAAAGTAACGCCTTTTCCGATCGAATTCGATAAGTCCAATTAAAATGATCAGCCCAAATGCATGCAACACATATTAAATAACGATTCAACAAAAAAAAAACAACAAAATGTTTTGAGTAGAAGCGAAAAGGGGTTGCTGTCGCCACATAACCGACTGCATAATACCCTTATGCAAATTGTGGAAAATCTGTTATTATTGTGGAAATCGGAAAAAGTGTATCATTGGCTCGATATGCGAAATGAACAAAGTATCAGCGGATAAAAATGTTGCTTCTATTTTCGCTCACACATTTGTCAGTCCTTCGGACATTACGTGGAAACTGTGGGATCAAGCCAAATAATGACAATCTCTGTTCGATGCATGACACTCAAGCCCTGAAATATGTTAAGACTGTTCGGCTCCTCGCTCTGCCAGAGAATTTTCAATCAGCATTTTACATGTAGTCAGTATTGAGTTGAGTTGGCAAAGAATTCTATGCATATTGTATATGGTTCATGGTGATAAAAGCCAATTAAAGATTAGATTAAACACAAAATGGTTACATAAATTTTTTTATATGAGTACAAAAAACGTTGTGAGTCAAGTTGCTTTAAGAATGTGCCAACCACTCTATGTATGGGTGAATATATCTTTATATACGTGTATTGAAGTAGGTACGTAAGTGCACAGCACAGTATAGAACGCAAATTGTATTATTAAATCAAGCAACAAAATAAAACCAAATCAAACTAAACCAATGCAAAGCAAAGCAAAGCAAACCAAACGACGCAGAAAAAGCAATTAAAGAAAATGCAAAACGAGGGAACGACATGCGTACCACATACATACCACATACATACCACATACATACATGTGGACATATATATACATATGTATAGATAAAATAATTTTAACATCAACAAAGAACGACCCTAGAGTCAATCGAGGAACACAAAAGACACAAACCGACTCAGCAACGACGCGACGGGGATCGGGGATATGGGGCGAATGGGGCGAGTGGGGGAGGCGACGGAGGTAGATTGTGGAACTGTGCTGGGCTAGTGAAATAGAAATTGGAGCACACCGCCACCCCCGCCCATCGTTAGGGTCCGAGTGGCCCCCAACACGATCAGCAAAAGCAGACGGCAGCAAAGAAAAGTTATGCGCTGTCAGTATAAACGCGAGCCTCGCGACGAGCAGCAACGCGCACCCACCATTCCAAAAACCGAAATAGAAATCCGAGCTAAGCCAAATATCGAGAATCTCAACAAAGACATAAAGATTGAGCTGGAGAGTAGGAGAGCGATCATGAAGTATGCTGGATGCTTGGCCATTGTGCTCATTGCGATGAGTGGCCTTTGTACGGCTCTGCCCATGGCCAACGAGGATGAGCTGGTGGCGCTCAACTCTGTCGAGCAGGTGCGAACGGACGAGTTGCCGCACATATTGAAAATCGCGCCCAGACATTCGGAGCCAGTGGCGGAGGACCCGGAGCGACCCGGTGACTTTGATACCATTGTCGAGGAGTTGCGCACCGCTGGTGTGCACACATCGGAACAGAAGCCATTGCACACGTTGCGCTACAAGGAGCTCGCTCGCCTCCTGGCTCTTTGGCAGATGGCCCAAGGTCGCAACTACTACGTTGCCAATGAAAATCGTGCGCCGCATGCTCATGATGGCGATACCAATGACAACGATGACAACCACGCAAAGAACACTTCGTAGGAGCAATCACAATGACGGCCAAGCGAAATCCAAAAAAAAAAAAATGAAAAAAAAAAACCAAAGCTTTAAAATTACTTTGCTAATCAATCCGAATTTTTATTTTTGTTTTGTTTGTTTTGATTTATCGACTCTGTAGCACTTTAATTCTAAGCATATCCCTTGGAATCCATTAAATAAAGCAATATAAATATAAAAAAAAATTAAATCAATTGAGTGAAAACAGAACAATTGAACTCTGGTCGAGTGTGCCGACTAGAAGATACACTGTGCTCAGTAGGATATTCAAATGTATGCATATACCAAAGATTGACTTTTTTATACCGGCATCATAGTGCGATATCCGTCTTGGCTAGGAAATCGATAAAATCGATAATCGCAAATCGATAAAGACACAATTTAAGGCTACAGATTATTAGGAATCAGCGCCCAAAATTCAGAAATGCCTGTATCCAAAAGCAAACTTGGAGGATAGATTACTAGGCAACTACTTCAAAGATCGATATTTCTAGCTATACATATGTTATTCAGTTATGTGTTCACCGGACTTATAGCAAAAGGATAAACAATTATGTACGATTTAAGTCTATACGAAAAAACACATAATTTGATCTGTGCTTGCTTTCCGAGTGCCTGCATTCTAATTAAGTTCGCTTGTTTTTAACATCTCAATATTCAACGAGCTGGAATTTTACAATTATTTTACTAATCGATATTTATCGATGTAAAGGAAAACAAATATAGGGTCGCTCAAAGAAAAAAGAGAATACAGAATACAGAGAGGCATTTGTATTAATCAGGAATATCTCAATATGTGGTCGGAAATGTCTTTATCAGCCTGTCATATAGATGTTAGCATACTAATGATACCCAGGGTATATATTAATAACTAAGAGTTTAATCAAGTCGATCGATGCTTTGCCGACGCTACCACAGTGTCCTGCCCAGCGAGATTCGGCGCAGTTGGCTCAAAATCTGCACTGTTGCTGTTACTGCGACTTCTGTCGCTGCCGCTGCCGCTGGTGCTAGTGGTGGTAACGACAACGATGGGCATTTGGCGGCGCTGCAATCGCTTGGCGATGGGCGGCACAAAGAGATCATGCTTGATTAGCGTACATTCGGCGTCCTGATAGATTCGACTATTGTTATCCCATTTGAGAGCCGCAAAGCACCAGGAGAGCAGCCAGCCGCCGACGAAGGCAATGAGAAAGCCAAGTGCTGCATACCACATGTAGCTAATGCGATACATATAAAAGTAATCCGTCTCCGGCTCCGTCTCTCGCATGTAAGAGGCGCGCGGCGTTGTGAACTGTGCGTCTGCTCGAAGCAGTATATCTCGAAGGTAGCTGCGATCATTGGGGCAACCAGCAGTGGACATGTCCAGACTTGGTATTGGCGGCTTCGGTTGACCGAAACCGATCCAAAAGGAGACGGCTAGCGAGATGAGTACACCAGCAATGGCGCCCTTTTGGTTTGCCTTCGTCACATACATGCCCAGCGTGAACAGGCCCAACAATGGACCGCCAACGATGCCAAAGATCGATAAAGCCGCCTGCAGCAGTCCGCCAATGGTGCCAGCCAAGAAAGCCATGCCAATGCAGAGGGCACCAAAGAAAATGGATAGCAGCTTGGAGTACCACATTGTCCGGCGATCATCCAGCGTGCGACCAGATGAGTAGATCACAATCGGCTTCACATAATCCTCCAAAGTGACAGCAGCCAGCGAACTGATGGCGGTGCTGATGGTGGACAGGCTGGCGCAAAAGATCCCCGATACGAAGAGGCCAGCCAGGCCCGTATATTGACCCATGGTGTCCACCACAAACAGCGGCATAATCTGATCCCGTGAATTGACGCGTCCCTCCAGCAATGGATCACAGTCACGATAATACCAATAGATGCAAAGGCCCGCAAAGCACGTGCTCATGCTCAGCAGACACAATATGGGCAGACACCACCAGAGAGCGGCACGTGCCGATCGCAGATTGCGTACGGCAAGCAAACGTTGCACTTGAGCTTGATTCACACCGTAGATGGCCAAATAGGTGGCGCTACCGCCCAGCACCTGGGTGAACCATGTGTGCCGTGTCGTTGGATCTATGCTAAAGTTGCTGAAATCGATGCGTCCATTATCCAGCGCCGCCTGCCAAACAACATCAAAGCTGCCTGCCTTGATGCCCGTACAGATGATAACACTGAATACGGCTACAAACATGAGAATCGATTGGTAAATGTCCGTCATCATAACCGCCTTCATGCCACCCATTGTTGCATAGATCGTACAGACAACGCCAACAATTATCACCGAAAAGACCTGGCTCACACCAGTGACAGCCTCCAATGCCAGTGCCGGCGCAAACACAACAATGCCCATGTACAATATCATCTGCGTAGAGAAGGCAACCGAGGCGATCAGGCGGGTGGCATAGCCAAATCGCAACTCCAGATACTCGTACACGCTGGCCGTTTTCAGGCGAAAGAAGACCGGCAGAATGAGATAGGCGGCGATGGGCGTCGACACAACATAGGACACATTGATGATGACAAACATGGTGCCATATTGATAGATCTCCATTGACACACCCAGTATGGTAACGGCCGACATGAAGCTGGCCATTAAACTGAATGCCACCGGCGTAACGCCCATGGAGCGATTAGCTAGAAAATATTCCGTTGTGTTGTTCTGCTTGTTGTCCGCAAATCGATAGTAGACTCCGATTAATATTGAGATGAGCAGTACCACGGCCAGAATGGCATAGTCCCAGGCACCCAGAGTAGCCATTCTCGTCACTCACTTTCTAATCGACGATCAAGTTAGCTGGATTAACACGCATACGTAATGCAAAGTCTGTTAATATTCTTGGCCTTTAATCGACAGACAGTTAATATTTGACTGTTGATAACCGACTGCGATAATAGACAACAAAATGAAATACATGTAGCAGCTGCAGATCCAAAATTTGCTCTTGAGATTATGCTCGAGCGCGCGTATGACTTTAACGTTTGCCGGCCGTCAATGAAGTGGGACAAAATAAATCCAAAACTACTCTGCTCTAGCGACTACAAGGGAACCGCGCTGCGCTGCGCTACCTTTTTATAGCTTCATTTGGCCGCCGCTGAGAGAGATAGCAGCGTAGGTGGCACCAATACTCTGTAGCAGTACCAGTACCAGTACTAGCACTTGGATACGGGACGCACGCTGTGCACCGTCGTTGCCATCGACATGTGAACAGCAAAAGTGCTTTCAAATGTTTTCAACTTCTTCATCAACTGCTTATCAATTACATAATATTTGTAGGTTTGCATTTTAGCCAGCTAAAATATGATCTAACAATGATGTCTTCACATGACTGATGTTGTTATTAAAGTGTCTAAGTCATCGTCAGTTGAAATATAACACACGAGTTTTCAACTGGACACACAATTTTAGCAGGGGTTTCAATCTAGTTCAGCATTTGTCTCAAAACTTATTCCAAGTGTATATATGGGGGGAGGGGGACTGTATTACTCACCACACAAACATGCACATACACAATGTGTGTATATCTCTATATCTTTATATAGCTTGTTGAATATTGCCATATTCGTTGACTGTTTACTTCACAAATTTTACGATTCAAATATTTAACTGCTGCCAACTAACGACCCCAACGACAAGCACTTAATGTTATCGTGATAACAGCTCTTAGAGCCCTGCATTAGATATTTATACAATTGCACGTAGATAGCCAGATTGAACTCTAGATTGCTCTTATATATTTGATTTTTCAATGATATACATATGTATATATGTTATTAAAAGGGCTGCAGAAAGTTGTGCATTTAAATAAATGTCATCGTCAGATGTGGCAAATGGAGCTAGTCATATTACTATGGAATTTGAAATTAAAATGACCATGGAACCCGTGGAAAAAGTCAGCAATTTCAACTGCGGGGCAAAATCAGAAATATTCAGGAAAAACATTTTGTAACGGGCTGGATAAGGGTCAAATTATTAGGCCCGCGACGTACAATGGTGTAGATAAAGACACACTTACCGTCACTTGATACCAGCCAGCGGCATTGGGAATCAGCTTGCCAAATTTACCCCGTGGAATGGGTGAGCCGCGACGTCGTGAACTGGGACGATCCTGTAAGCACATGTTGAAAATTTGTTTAGCATGCAAGTTGCGTAGATATGTCGGCAAGCTATGCGAAGCCTGGTTAAGCAAACAAACCTTCACTGTGGTTGTCATTTCGCTCATGTCATCATCCTCATCCCAACGACGCACATCTTGAAGCCGCAACTTAACATCGCTTTTGTGCGGAAATTGTGAGGTCTTGAAGCTGACGCGACGCTTGTTCCGATCCTTGCGACGCTGATGATCGTCGTCTGCAATGCAACAAAGAGTTATTAGGATATCGACAGGCCAACCAAAAGGATGCCACACAGATAACCTACCGTCGTAGTCTTTCAGCGCAGAGAAACGCGATCCACCGCCGCCACCATTGCCACCACCATTGCCAACATTGTTGTTGTAACGCTGACCGCCACCTCCGCCACGCTTAGGCATTGCTCACACGAAGTCGACGATATAGAGTTGTATAGCGCACAGCGCACAGTCGCAATAACAATAAACAAGGTCTTTGAATGCGCAGAATTTACAGTGACAATAACGGTAGTGTCACAAACAATATGTTTAATAGGCTCACAAATGGACGCATGTAATTATTGCACAGCAAAATTATGAAGAAGCGCGAATTTGCAACGCAATTTCACGAAATTCTCTACAGCATATGTATTTGTGTGCTCGACCAGATGACAGACGTCACGACAATGAAATAGTAGAGATGTTGCTCAGCACTGTTTTTTAAATGTGTTCAGTGCTGTCCAATGACACTGTTAGCACAAACAATGTGGCAACGCCAGCCAGCCAACAAAATTATAAGCAGCAGCCGCGTTGTACCATTATTCTCAATAGTTTTTGAAAACTCAAAGCAGCATTATTGACAAGACCGGATTAGAATAGGCAGCGTATCACATGAACATGTCCTCCAATCGAAAGTGCCGCTTCCATGTAAATGTAAGCGATACGGAAGATAAGTTAGTGCAAAGTCTTAGTGATGTGCTAAAACGTTGCTCGAGTCAAGCTCTTGAAAATGCGAAAACATTTCGCGTTGGCCTTTCAGGTGCGTATTTTTCATAGGAGTATGTAAATATTGTGTTGTGCATGTGTGTGTGTGTGTGTGTGTGATAAGCTCAACTTAAGGTGACCTTGCACCGCACACATTCTCATTCGCATTCGCATAGTGAATTATTAACAAAAAGGTTACCCAATCTTGCGATCAACAGGTGGTTCGCTCGTGCAGCTCTTGACTAGTGCTCTGGTTTCAAGTGGACTGGACACGAAATGTTGGCAGTTTTTTTTCTGTGACGAACGTTATGTGGCACAAGATCACAATGAATCAACGTACTGGGCGTACAAAACTCAAATGCTAACTAAACTACCAAACATTTTGGATAGCCAATTTATTAAAGCCGATACGTCCGTGTCGTTGGATAAGTGTGCCAGTGATTATGCTGAACGTATTGTGAATGAATTCGGTACAAGTTGTCCAGTATTTGATTTGCTGCTCTTGGGCATGGGACCGGACGGACATACATGTTCCTTGTTTCCGGAACAACCGGCTAATTTGGCGGAAACCGAACGTTTAATCATTCCGATTCGGGATTCCCCAAAACCACCACCAGAACGTATAACATTTACGCTGCCACTGATCAATAATGCCAAAGACGTCGTTTTTGTTGTAACAGGCGCCAGTAAATCTGATGTCGTAAAGGTAAAAGAGCAACAGTGCTGATTACGTTATTTATACATATTGCTTATTTGTATTGCAGCGCGTATTTGCAGGCATGGACAAAAAATTTCCATCTGCATGGGTGGAGCCGACGCATGGACAATTGACATTGATTGCAGACAGTGCCGCAGGAGAAACGTTTCTTGGTCAAACCTGTCATTGTGCACATGAAACCAACTAACTATTGTAAATAATTTCTAAACAATAAAGATATCTGGTGCTGTTTGCGTTGGCATTTTGAAAATTGCGCGCAGTTTTAATCATGTACACAACGTTGCCATTTAATTTCGTTTAATGTCAGAGCACAGAAATAGTGTTGCCAGATCGCAGCAAGGTTCCCATTCAAGCAAAGATATATAAAAAAAAAAACAAACATTTACAAACAGCCACAAGACGCAATGCCGCGGAAATAATTGAAAAACTAACATATAAAAAAAAAATACGTACTCCAACGTACTTGCAATGCCAGACACTTATGGTCAGTTCGATGCTGAGCGCGTCTGTCGTGTTTGTCTGCGCGAAGTGGGCGATTTTTACTTTATCTACGATGAAGCGCCCGTAGAGCAGGGTGCGAACATCGCTCAGATACTCAATGAATGCACACGGTATACGTGTGAGCGTTACGACAAGATGCCGCATCATATGTGCGACACCTGCATCAAGGCCGCCTGCCAGGCGTATCGCTTCAAGAGGGACGCTGAAAAAGCATATCGCTCGCTTGTGGACATACTGGGCCGCACACCAGTTAGCAAGCCGAACAGTAGCGATATGTGCACCCAGACCGAGCAACTGCCCATGCTGCCGTGCGGCATCTGCAACGATAAGTTCTTAAGCATTATTGAAGTGCGTCTGCATCGGAATCGTCAGCACAAAAACGTGGCGGAGCTCAAGTGCAAACTGTGCGACGAACAGTTCCAGCAATTGCGACAGCTGCTTAACCATCTCGTGGAGCGACATGATCCCAAGTCGACCACATCATTTTTGCGTCGCCGTCGCGAATGTCGCGACTGCCAACGCGTCTTCTCGCGACGCGATCATTTGCTCCGTCATATGCAGGCTGTGCACAATGTGGAGGGCCGTGGTCGGCGCCGGACACTGGCCGCGGAGCAGGAAGTGCAATCTGAAACATGGCCGCCTATCGACGAGGCAACCATGCACAGCGCCGACGAATTGGTTTCGGCTGCCGTCTTATTTAATGATCCAGCTGCGTGCTCTGATGGCGAGAACGACAACGATAATAACGAGATGCGCTATCAATGCCATACGAATCCCATATCAAGCAACGACGACACTGAAGATGAAGAGATCCATGCGGAGGCTAAGCAATCCCTGTGGCTGCACATTAAGCCAGAGCCGGAGGCGGACCTCGAACCGTATCCGGAGTCATTTGTGGCACCTGCAAATCGCGTAATGCGCCGCAAAAAAACAAATCTCGAACGTGCCACCCACACTGACACAGAGGATGAAAATGAAGGCCTGAACAACCAGAAAATTACGACCAGTGTTTTGGCAGCAGAGGTTAAAGGTAGGTTTTTCAAGTAACATAAGTCAATTCGAAACAGGTATAGATAAAGATATGTTTTAGTACAAAAAATAGGCGTATACAGCCTTGACCTGACCTGTTTTGATTTATATACGACAGTTTTACACCCACTTCTTATCATTGTGGGTGGAATTTTTAAGACTCCTTTATAGTTGCTTATCAGTCAGTCAGTCGACACACACCATTTTATATATATAGCGATGTAAATATTGGATAAGTATGTCTAACGGGCGCTTTGAATTATCTCAAGCAGAGGAGCCACTGGTTACCGGCAGCGAGCAAGAGTTACCGATTAAGCTGGAACGCCAGCGCGCTGATAGCGTCAATGATGATGGTGAGTATGAGATGGACGCCTCATCAGCAAATATTTACCATAGCGCAGATGAGGAGGACGGCGAGGAAGAGTTTGCCAATGACGAGAGCGACATTGATGAATACGACGACGAAGATGACGACGAACCGGATGCCGAGCAAAAGACGCCATCGGAAGACAAGTCTAAGCAGACCCAAGCGAAAACAGTGCGCGATTATCTGCAAAAGCCGACAGCTGGCAAGCAGCGACGTCGTCGTCGCAAAAAGCAGAGTGATTCGGCGGCACCGAACCCGGAGAACCGGTGCGATGTCTGCATGCGCACATTTTCCCGCCACTGTCATTTGTTGCGCCACAAATTGTCGCATTTGGAAAAGAAGCCGCACAGCTGTCCCCACTGTCCCAAGGCGTTTGCGCGCAGCGATCATTTGAAGGCGCACGTGCAAAGTTTGCATGGCAACAAGGAGCACAAGTGCGTGCTGTGCGAGGCAGCGTTCTCCCGCCTCGACGCCCTCGAGCGGCACAAGATGAGCAAGCACAACGGCGAGGGCCTGGACGCCAGCAGCGAGCTCAAACTACAGATGAGCGAGCATACGTGCGAATACTGCTCCAAGCGATTCTCAAGCAAGACCTACCTGCGCAAGCACACGCTACTCCACACGGAATTCCTTTACGCGTGCAAGAGCTGCGACGAGACATTCAAGGAGCGCCAGCAGCTACGCAGTCACGAGAAGACGCACACCGGTCAGCGCAATTTCCTCTGCTGCATTTGCGGCGACAGTTTTGCGCGCAACGACTATCTGCGCGTCCACATGCGGCGACACAATGGCGAAAAGCCATACAAGTGCCGTTATTGCGTTAAGGCCTTTCCACGCGCCACCGATCTTAAGGTACATGAGCGGTACGTGATCAAGCCAACAACGAAATTGGATTTTAAGATTGTCACTTATCGTTATTGATTTTGCGTGCATTGTATTTTAGCTATCACACCGGCACGAAGCCCAATCTGTGCAATACTTGCGGCAAGAGTTTCCATCGCGCATACAATCTGACCATACACATGCGCACCCATACTGGCGAACGTCCATACAAGTGTGACCAGTGCCCAAAGAGCTTCAGCCAGAGCAACGACTTGAAGGCGCACATACGACGGCATACTGGGGAGCGCTACAAGTGCCCGCATTGTGATGCCTACTTTCTGCAGCTTTACCATATGCGCAATCATTGCCTCAGTGCCCATAATAAGCATATTGAGACGAAAACTGGTCGGCTACAACGCACTGGTCTGCTGGACGAGTCCAATCACACGCATCTTACCACTGTGGTCATGCCCGCAACACGTTCGCACCCATCAACGGGTGATCCGCCAGCGACAGTTAGCACACAATTGCCCGCAGCGTCGACAGCGCCTGCGACAATTGCAACGCCAATTATGCATTCCCCGGTGACATACAATATATCATCACCAGCATCAGTGTCGGTGCCAGTGCCGGAAGCCGCCGGATTTGTGGGTGTTGCGAACAATGCAAGGGCGACGGCAACGGCAGCGCCACCCTTTGGAGCATTTAATATACCTCCCGTGGTTATGGGTAAGCGTCCTTACATAGCCTATGTGCCACATGCCACCTAATGCTGTCTCTGTCTAATTTTGTTCATCTCTCTCTCTCTCTCTCTCTCTCAGCGCATTTAATGTACAATCATGGCAGCAACAGTCAGCAGAGCAATGCCAGCGGCAGCGAGACCGGAAAATAACCGAGACTACACTATAAAATATGCAAGCAAATCTTCAGTATGCTATTCCAACATAATTTTAAGTTCTCCTTGTATATATGTACGACGATATGAAATCGAGCCTTTACAACAATGCACTATGGTCCCAAAGTCGATATTTTGGCATAGACCCAAATAGTTGATAGGACAGAATTTAAAAAAAAAAAGAAGAAAAAAAAATACATTTTTACAAAATGTTGGTTTATTTTTGGGAGCCCTTGTTTTTAAAAATTTGGCGTAAAATCTGAGTTTACTTTGAGTGTAGAAAAGAAATTGAAAGAACACTGCAAATAATTATGGATACAAGTTCGATTCGTATATGTGTGCTGTTGTGTGTAGCTTTAGGTTAAAATTAAGAAGTGCTATTGCATTTGAGCAGCTAATATATTATTACATCAAATAACTTACAATCGGCAAACTATTGTGATTGAGGATTATTAACATTATTTTTCACCTTGTGCTAGCGTTTAAGAAATACTCTTTTTTTTCAGTTGCGCTGAATTGGCAGCTTTACTGTTTTTGTTACCTTGATGATGAGTTTAGTTTGCATACATTTCAAATACAAAATGAGATAACCTTAGGCAAGTCACATTTAAATTAGTCAAGACTAATAGCTAAAATGTTATATTATACATTTTCTCATTATTGAATTACTTGGCCTTGTCGGTAAAGGTGGACCATATCAATCGAAAATGACATTCAAAATTATTATAAAATGGTGCAATTTAGTTTTTATATGTTATGCCAAATAAAAATAAAAGACTTTGGGGCCAGAGGGCAGTAATGAGCATGCTTTTGCGAGTGAAAATTGATTAAGATCAACATAAATAACATTTTTACGGCAAAGCTAAGCGATTTGTATTGTATAAGTATTGCATACAAGCAATGGGCAAAATTCTTTAACCAGTGAAATAATCATTGCCAATTCAATGTTCTACATACCGGCAGTTTTAAGTTAGAATAAATGATATAATTTTTGTTTTATTTTTATGCCTTATACCCATTAAAATTGGTATTGTAAAATTGTGCAAAAACAAACAAATGTATATGTGTTTTACATTAGCTTAAACAGCCAAGTCGATCTAGTCTATCCGTCTTTAAACAGATGTTGTGAGAATTTATGAAAGTTCTGGTATATTACACGCAAATCAAGTTCACTTTATTCAATCGAATTCCTGTTGATATAAAAGACACTTTTAAAGCTATAGTATATTCAGTACACCTTGTCATATTATTGATTCACTGCAAAAATTTCATCAATATCAATGTGTGAGACGCCAGCAGCATTATAATGCACCTGATTATGTCAGCCACTACTCCAGATTTCGCAACAAAAAAATATTGTAATTGTTGTAAATGCGGATGTTAAAAAATATATATAACACCAAACTACAACCTTTTTTAATAGACTCAATATTTTTTGACAGCTGCATACAGAGTATCTCCTAGTTGGGCGCCGACTAGAGTATTCACACAAGTTTGTGTTTAACTATTGCATTCGCGCAATTTTCAGTACAATATTTTTATATTCTTGTAGAGAATATCATAATTGTGTCGTTTAGTTTGTAACGCATTCCTTGAGCAGCTTCACTCTACGTCCGTCTATCTGCCTGTTTTAAAGCTCATCTCTCAGCTTGAAAGCAATCTAAGTTTTAACATATCCGTATTTTTGCAAGGAGGCGTTGGAGTCATAACCGGATGGAATCGACTTCATGTTTAATAACGTTGGTTTCTATGAACATTGAACTTCTATATAGGTACAGGAACCACTTTTGGTTTTTAAAATTTACAATCAATTTCAGACGGTATGTATTTTCTAACCGTGGAAATACATTAATATATTTAAAACGAATTGATGCTAAAATGAAAACAATTTTTTCTTTCCTTGAGATTATGTTTGCCTATATTTATTGTTTTATAAGAGGTAAAACTAATATGTATGTTGACGGTTGGCTTTCAGAACTGGAATAGTCTCTTTAATAGATAGCTTAAATCCTTAAATCATGATGTTTATATTATTGACAGAAGTATAAGCCAAGTCGACAAGATTTTGTATAAGATCAAACTATTATAAATGTATAAATGTTTATGTCTTAATGTTGCACAAACTTATTACCTTTAAGACTAGGTGTTTATATATATTCATTTTAAATTCAATGAAAATCAAAAGATAAAATAAAAATGTAAATAGTCAGTTCATATAAAATGTGAGATTACTTTCCCATAACATATCCGTATTTAGCTTGAGGCGATGGAGTCATAATCAACCGGATCGAACAACTAACTTCACATTCCTACTATGTGCCATGCATTTGAATTTAATTTATAACAGCTCGATAACAGTTTGTCGATAAGTGCTACTGAGTGGGGTGAAAATGAGTTCAAATCATTGAAAAAACGAAACTAGAGTCTCATGAATTGAATTGCTGTTGCTTTATCAATTTTTTGTGTCGCAGCAACTAATTTATCAAATTAATATCTATAGGCAGCTACACGAACATTTGAATTTAACTATATTACGCGCCGCGCTCTACTCGATAATTGTGCTGTTAACAGCTGTTCGATAAATGTTATTACACTAAGCGCATGCTCTCACTCTCTCTCTCTCACTTTCTCTCTTTCGTTCTTTCTATTTTGATACGAGAAAATATTATGTTAATGTTGTTTTTATTGTTTTTAATAGTTGTATGTAAACAGTCGTAGGCTTATCGACTTCTTTGCATTGTTTGTGCAACACTCTTGAAAACTTAATTAATTTTGGTGCTGAAATAAAAAGTGAAGAGCAAACGATTGGCCAGTTTATCAGTCTGAATTCTTAAACGATTGAATTGTACTCATTTTCGGGCAACATTTGCTCTATGCCTGCCAGTGAGGGTATGCGTGTGGCGGTGTGATGAGCTTCCAACAACACAGCTTTTTTGTTTTCATTCGCCTTATTTTGACTCGCAAAACGCCTTAAACTTTTGCTGTGAACGGACGACAAAATTTGTTGTGCAGTGCCCGTTTTGTTGTTTTTGTTGTTATTTCGAATCGAAATTATTATAAAACTAAAATTAAATTTATACAAATTTGAATAGAAAGTGAAATAATAAAATTCTATAGCTTAATTATTGAGCAAAATATAATGGACTAGTGTGTCTTTTAACGGATTGCTCAAATTGTTTATATTTTACTATATTGAACAAAGCAAACACTACTCCTAAGCATAACAAGTGCCTTTTATGCATGCCCTGTAAGTAAACAATTTTTAAATACATTGTTGTTAAATAATGGACCCCCTTTGAGTAATTATTTCACATTCGACTGCAAGATGTGTGAGGAGAGGGACCAACACACACACAGACACATACGCACATACATGTGAGACTCTGAGCGATGCTCTCATCCTGCATTTAGCCAGTGCTTGATTTCTGTTACAAATCAATTGGCCATTGTGGCACTGCTTAATAATAGACTACATCTACAGTGGGTACAGGGGATCGCCTAGTCGAGCTCACTCAGTCGACTAGAGCACGCTTGTTAGTTTGTATATGGTATTTGTGCCCCTCCTACATGTTTAATTAGAATAACAATTTTCACGTAAATTGGGCAAAACAAGTGTTTTATTTCCCGTTATATAGCAGTTAATATTAATGCCGTTAAGTTGTGGCTTATTTAAGTGAGATTCTCTGATTTCCCAGTAACTTTGCTTTGTAATCTATAGATCATTAAGATTGTATCCATATCTTGTTGGAGGCCTAGATAAATAACTTGAATAGAGGTAATTTTTTTTGTTTGTTTGTTTCAACTTTTTCAACTTATCGGCCTTACTAAATGTTCATGCTTGGCTGACGGCTTTTAAATACGTTTTAATGATCAATGCAAATGTTTATGCAATATATATGCAAGCCCTCGTTTCTTTGTAACACATTAATTTCTGATGAAATATCTACTTCTGTGGTCCCTAATCTGATTCGATTCGATTGTTGTGCGATCAGAGTCTATATGCAATATCTGCTATTATCATTTGGTGCGATCAACAATTGACGCGATTTACGTCACAGGCAAATTGATTGTCTGGATTACTTCGTATTTTTACTTTCCTCTGTAAACATGACACATGAGAATTGTGATATGAATCAAATTAACGTATCTGCCCATAAAACTGATTATAAACATGGGACATTTCATATTACGTGAGCAATATACTCTGCTCCACGTTTAACCACATTGAAGTGGTTATAAATAGCGCAACGTATTATAATATAATGGTATTATTCACAATCAGCCTTATCGCCAACCTCCATCAATTAAGACAACCGAGTCTCGCGACTCTTCGGTCGAGTCGACTCGCGAATACAGTAATTAGACCAAAGTGTTCCTCTGACAAAAAGGTGAATGTTCCTAGTAGTTTTCTTCTTTCTTTTCTTTTATTTTCTTTTTTTCCCCAAACAGGTCTTGTACATATGTATTCCGGTTTACTGATGATGTAATCAGCTGCAAGACCTGTAAACATATAGAAACACATACAGTACAAAAGACGAGAAAAATAAAGTTGAACTAGGCGTCAAGTCGTCAAGTCCTCAAGTTGACGAAATGTTCCCTTAAAATGAAACGTCAATTCAAGAATTGTAATTAAATTTGTAAACTACACTTACAATCACAAAATTCAGCTGGAAACTCCAAATTGTGACTCACTTAAATTTGCTGCTCAAATACTTAGATGTGCTTTAGATCTACATTTATAGTTTAAGAAAGATACGTTAATCATGACAAAAACATATTCGAGGGTATTGTGATAGAACCACACATTATTGATAATATTTGGACAAGCTTTGAAGATGTATTATGACAATATTACAGGTCAGCTTAAGGCTGAAAAACATTTTGGCACCTCAAACAACTAATATATTCTTGACATTGAGTTATCCACATCGAATATGCGGATATAAAAATAAATCTCAGGTATAAAAGAGTAGCTAATATGCCCTTGGAAAGGGTATAATCCAAATGAATATGACCAATGTCTGCCAATATGGCATACGCGGATGGATGGTGCGAAAGCAAAAGCACACGGCCTTATTCAAAAAAACAGCCAAAGAAGCCACTTGTACTAGGAAGACAGGGGCAGGGGCAGGGGCAGTGTCTCTATAAGTGGGTGTACGGGATTTTGTAAAGTTTTATTAATTGAGGCCGTGACGTTGATCGGTACTCGACGCGACTTGTGAGCTGTGAGCGTAAAGTGTCTAATCTAATTGCCGTTTGGGTATTTAATAGACAGCTGAACGCTTCATGTCATTGTGTTTGTTCTTGGAAATCCAGTTTAGGTGGGAGCTGCGGGATTGGGTGTGGAAATGCTTTATCTAATCTCAGCGAATAAATTATGTATTTCAAATTGCCACATCTATATAACATTCATATAAATACATTTTATAGCCTTCCCTGCCAAATAAAACTGGTTTATAATCGGACCCAGACGTGATCCGAGAGATGTCTTCAACGGGCACGGAAAGCACAAAGCTGGGAGATGTGGGCCTGATTGAGGTGCAGCTGGATAGTTTAGACTCGAGTCACAATTTTGCCACCACAAATGGTACGACGACTCCAAGGACCAAGCCGGATCAACAGCAACTGCAACGGGATCGGCAGATGCAAAAAAATGTGTTCAAATCGAAGTTGTTCATAATTGCGGTTAGTTTCTCCTCGATTCTTATGATAGCCATGTGCATTGGCTTCCTGGTGCACTATGAATTTTCTGGCGATGTCACCGACATGCAGAATGTTGACTATTGGCATGTCTCGTTGCCCAAGGAGCAGCAGGAATGGTATGATCGCGGCATCGATGAACTTAAGCTGGCACTCAATCGGAATACAAATCGACGGCGGGCCAAAAATGTGATCCTCTTTGTGGGGGATGGTATGGGTCCCAATACGGTGACGGCGTCACGCATCTACGGATTTAAAGAGGAAGGCCTGCTCAGTTGGGAGCGTTTCCCGCACATGGGCCTCCTGAAGACATATTGTGCCAATAAACAGGTACCCGACTCCTTCTCCACGGCAACGGCGCTCTTTGGCGGCGTCAAGGTCAATTACGAGACGGGTGGCGTTGATGCCAATGTTCCACTTGGCAATTGCAGTGCCTCTCTCAAGGAGGAACATCACGTCCAGAACATATTCAACTGGGCGCAGGTGGATGGCATGCGCACTGGATTTGTGACCACAACGCGGGTAACCCATGCCACACCCGCTGCCCTCTACGCCCATGTCGCCGATCGGCGGTGGGAGTGCGAGGCAACCATGCCACCAGAGGCACAACAGCTGGGTTGCCTGGACATTGCCCGACAGTTGGTGGAACAGAACACAGGACGCCAGATCAATGTGAGTAGAAAAAATGGCAGATGAACATTAATATTTACATGAGTATACGATATCAGCTTATTATAATTTCTTAGGTTTGTCTTTAATTCAAGTAGCTTTACATTTGCTCAAGTTCTGCAAGTATTCGGAAAATTAGTCAATTCAAGAATTCCACTTGAAACGTTTTCTATAATAAGTAGTTTTTTGAAGAATATTCATTTATTTTTTTCTCAATTTTTTCTCAATTTTTTCAAAAGTACTTTATGTAAAATTGAAAGTTTGCCAAAGATTTTTGGTAGTTCAAATTCTTTATTGGCAAAAAATTAAAGCGTTATTTTATATGAGACTTGTATTAAATTAAATAACAATAATTTAAGGTTATCATGGGCGGCGGTCGTCAAATGCTGGTCTCGAATGTCAGCGCCACAGAGAATGATCCGCTGGACATGTGGGCGGGTCACTCCGCTGACGGACGCAATCTCATCACGAAGTGGGCGCAGATAAAGGCGGAACAGGGCGTGCCGCATGCTGTCGTCCAAAACAATGCGGAACTGAGGAATCTTGATGCGGAGAATATTGACTATATGATGGGCATCTTCGCCAATGGCCACCTCAAGTACGATCACGAGCGGGACTCGGGCGACAACGGAATGCCCTCGTTAACCAATATGACCCTTAAGGCGCTGCAAGTGCTGGGCAACAGCGATAAGGGCTACCTGCTTGTGGTCGAGGCGGGAATGATTGATCAGGCTCATCATCGGGGCAATGCCCGCAAGGCCCTCAACGAAGTACTAGCCCTCAATGAGGCCGTCCAAGCGGTGCAAGCTTATCTCATAGAAAAGTAAGTGATGATTCTACAACAAATAAGAACAGATATAACGATGCTTAACAGGGACCAGCTGGACGAGACACTGTTTATTGTGACCGCTGATCATTCGCACAGTCTAACTATCAATGGGCATCCGGAGCGTGGGGCTGATATATTGGGACTTGCCGGCAATTCCAAGACAGAGCAGACGCCATACACAACGCTCACGTATGGCACCAGTTACAAGGGATTTCAAGTTAATGCGGAGCAGCTGCAGCGACAGAATCCAGCGTTGAGTGACACCACAGACTGGGAATATACGCAGCAGGCGGCGATCAATACCGACGAGAACCTTCACGGTGGCTCCGATGTGACGATACATGCTCGTGGTACATACATACGTTGTCACAACAATCATAACAAATAAATATTAATTAATATACATTTTTTTTTGCAGGTGCAATGTCGTATTTGTTCCACGGTGTGCATGAGCAGAGCTATGTGGCGCATGTTATTTCCTATGCGCTGCGTATTGGGCGCTTCCGTGATAGCACAATCGCCGAATCCCTGGCGGAGCTGATGCCTTTGTAGCTTTAAATTTAGCATATTTCTTTTCCTTTTTTTTTCTATATATTTAATATATGTAACATGTGATAAGTTGTTTTGTTTTCTAGTGCCAAGCGCAAATAAATGCATATAAATAAATGTTGATAAAATTTCAAAAGCGCGCGCGCATTTTCTTTTTATTTACTTTTCGGTTAATGCTGCCACTTAGCGCACCGCGCTGCCAGACTACGCTCTTCTATGTACTGTATCATTAAACAGAGCAGATATAACCATTTGCATACTGGTTTAACTTTTAGCCAATTTGGTGACCACAGCCCGTAAAATGTAAGGCGTTAATTTAAAAGAGGATATCAATGTCTGTCCGGATGCAAAATTCATTGCCTCTCGACAGGCACATATTCACGCATACATACAAATATACATAGGCCTTAGTGGCTGTATGCACTTGCAGTTAAGTATCGATATAATTTTAAAATGAGTCAGCAATCGCAATGTTTGCATTCTATCGATATGACAAACATATCGATAGTCAATAACATCACTACAAAGCAGAAAGTTGGAAGTTCCTTCATACAAGCTGCAATTATATACAAAAAAATAACCATTGATTTTAATAAACAGTTTAATATTAGCCGCGTTTTCACCGACGTTTGGTGCTGAGTTATTATTTTTTTTTCCTTTTGTGTTTCAAGTGGTCTCGAAATTTTCGTTGTTCGTTCCTTCATTATTGTTAAAGTGATTGGGTGTTGCGTGTGAAACGAACGCCCTCCCCCACCAAAAACAAAAAAAAATACAGAAAAATCAAAGTTATTGTTTATTGATTAATTGCCGGGTCTGTAGAAACAACGAAATCCAGTAAAAATGGCGTTGAAAGTTTTGGTCGGTCAAAGTAAGTGCAATGACAAATATTCTAATTCGCATTTGATTCCACCACTGTTGTGACTAACAAACACCCACACACGCGTACATACACGCACACAGATAGAAGACAATATTGCGATACACTAATACATATGAGAGTCTTATTTAGCCCATTTACTACATACGAATTGGATATGTATGCATGTAGTTAGTATCCACTGATATGCACAAAATTTCGCATTTGCATATAGGCTTATCAAAGAGCGGCCCCAACCCCACCCACAACGCACATCGATTTTTCCAAAAACCTTAACCACCCAACAACAACAGCAACAACATTTGGCACCCACTGTTCAGTCCGCCCACTCCGTGTGTGTGTGTGTGTGCGTGCGCGGGGGTTACGGTGACCTTTGCCACAGGAGCAAAGCATTTGCAGCGCCAATAGCCCTGGCGTCATACGTATCAGATTCCTTTTTGTTTTTGCTTTTGCCTTTGCCTGATTATGCCGTTCCGTTCCATTCCATTTCGTTCCGGCTATCTGGTGTCCTTTTTGCAATTTGCAAAATGCCAATTACTATAAATATAATCATTGATTAGCAGCGCTCGCACGTTTACAAAATCAATCAGGCAACGCTACTTTTGCTAAATGGCTTATTTTTTGCACTGTCTTTCTCTGCTGCTGCTGCTGCTGTTGCTGCTCTTCTTCTGCTTGTTATTATTATTGTTATTATTGGCTTGCTGTAGCTGAGTCATCAGTGCTCGTAATGAAAGGCTTTGCTTATGAGTAATTGTTTTTTCACCCTTTTTTTAACACTTCTTTTTTTGATAAATAATGCGCAGTTTCCATTTAATTTATGACATTAGTGGGTGATGTACTGAATCCCTTTGAATGGGTTCGACTGCAAACATATTGAATGAACGACTCAGACTCACTTCACTTAACGAATGATCCAAGTCCCTAATATTATATTTATATGCATCTCGTATTCACTCTAATTTATCTACCGCTCGTTCATTATTGTTTCTGTAAAATGTAGATTGAATCAGCTTTGAACAATACTATTAGGCAGTTATTGGGCTTTTATCACAAAACGAGCTGTGTGTTACGCGCCGAATTCCAAGACTAAATTCGCAAAAATTAATCAGGGGCGATAAAAGTTTGTTGCTGCTTAACCTAAATAAATGTATCAGAGCTCAGGATCTTTGTTTATGTTTTATAAGTAAATTACACTACAAATATATCCTGTTTTGTATTTTCTTTTAGATTTAGCATTTGTTGTATTCTTTCAATACTATAATGCAAATAATGAACTCTTTTTTCGTTCAACTAAGCTTATTGACAACTCTAAAAACAAAATGGATTTAAATCAATTTTGAAAATTAATTCGCATATTTTGTTGCCTATTTATAGAGATTATGAACGAGGTGGTGAAGTACAAGCCGCCACCACCAAAGAAGGCTGGTGCTCCAGCTGCTCCAAAGGCGGCCGGCGCTGGAGGAATTGAATGGCGTGTCCTTGTCGTGGATAAGCTTGGCATGCGCATGGTGTCCGCCTGCACCAAGATGCATGAGATTAGTGCCGAGGGCATTACATGTGAGTTCCATAGCTAACCAAAAGAAATAACTTGACAATAATTCTGAATATGTTTCGATCTAGTGGTGGAGGACATTAACAAGAAGCGGGAGCCGTTGCCCACAATGGATGCCATATATCTGATAACGCCATCGGACGAGTCTGTGCGCGCCCTGATCCGTGATTTTGAGAATCCGGCGCGTCCCATGTACCGTTATGCGCACGTCTTCTTTACCGAGGGTATGTGCCAGCCGTTTGGCCAAGCTTTGACAATAATACAAATAATTGAAATATATATTGAGTTCCTAATGCGAGTGATTGTATGGCTATTTGTAAATGATCATAATGATATATCGTATTATTTAGTGTATTCCAATGCGAGTTAATTATGATTTCTATGGTTTTCAATTCATGTATGTCGATTATAATTTTATTTTCTTACATTTTTTTATGAATCCCGTTCTGAACTTTTCAAAACACCACCTGCACCTCTGCAAACATGATTCATGATTATTATATACATATATATAACTTGAATACAATATATGTATAAATGTGTATGTATGCCATGTAGCGATACCGCCCCGCATATTTGAAATGCTGCAATCGCACAAAGACATTTGTCGACGCTATGTGCGAACCTGCAAAGAGATCAATATTGCCTTCTTGGCATATGAAGCTCAGGTATAGTTAGTTAATCACACACACTCACACACACACACACGTACCCCCAATACATTATTTGCTACTCGTTGCTGTCACTCGTTCGAATTTCTCGTTGCTCTTATTACTAATATTCAAATTGTGCTGTGAAACGTTTCGACACGATTTTCATATTAATGTATCTCGTATAAGCTGGGTGCAACAAGAACTGACAAAGAATAATATCATTCAATGCTTCCCCGTCTCTTGTGGACGTGTCCTGTGAATTCATTTTCTTTTTAACGCTTTTGTTTTGTCCATATGTGCTCATGATTTATCTTCTTATTATTTATTATTTTTGTATTATTTTGCTTTGTTACTCTTATCCTGAAACTTTTCCAAACGCTCAATAAGTTTACTTTTCAGGGATTTGAATTGTGCATTAGGTATTTCTACTAATATACTCCAAAGTACATACATAGATAAAAATGACTTAATGAAATAAAACGCATACACCACTCATACTTACATACATGCCATATATACTTTACATATTTTGTAGCTTATCAAAAAAAAAAAAAATCCAAAGCCAAAAAAAAAAAAAAAAAAAAGGAAAAACGTTAAGCAAAATTTGATTGTGCGTATAATATTATAATTATAGTTTGCCCGGAGGAATTATTTAACGATTTGTGTAAATCGTGCGCTGCAAGAAAGATCAAAACTCTAAAGGAGATTAATATTGCATTTCTACCATATGAATGCCAGGTGCGCTAAACAACAAAAATATTTCGTTATATTAAATGTTAAGCGTTAAAAAAAACGTGTATAAAATACAAAATACTCTATATACCCTTCTCTGTCGCTCTCTCTATCTTTGCCTCTCGCTGTCTCCCTCTCTTACATTGCTTGGACAATGCAATAAACTCCAGACAATTACAAGAGCTAGAAACTTATAAATATATATACACATCTAAATCCGAACTCAAGCCTAAGCCCCCAAGAAAATATGAATTAAGCAACAACAAAACTCTTGTTTGAAAAACAGCTATCTCTCTAACTGTTCTATGTATGTTGCTTTTGTCTGATGACAGACTTGGAACATCTTTCTAAGTTTTGTACAATATATCTCTATCTCTTACACACACACACACACAATCTCTCTCTCTCTCTTTCTGTCATTGTTTATACTAATATAAAAACTTATGTGTATAAGTGTTGTACTTGCTGTTGTAAATACTACTGGTACCTCAATCAAATGTGGTGCCTGTCCCACATAGACATAATTAATTTTCCAACACTGTTTGCTCGCAGTGTCTCTAGTCCCATTTCCGAGGAACGCCTCTAAGCCAAATCTCCTTAAGTTTTGTTACACTTGTTTTGTAGTGTTCAATTTAATGTATGTGAATTGTATACAGAAAAGCAAATCGTCGCCTAACTAACCCTAAACACATCTGATCAATGTGAATATCAATCAATAAGAAGAACAACTAACTCTTCAATCACCCATAATAATAATACAAATAATGATAAGCCATCAAATATATAACTCGATTAAAAGTAAATGCTACTCGCCGACACAGACACAAAATGACCAGGCACGCTTAAGCACTCGTTCGTTTTTATACGATCGTGTAGCTTACTCGTTATTCGTCATGTTGTGAATCGGCGAGTACAACTCCAGGGCTCAAAACAAAACACAAATAGCACTAAAGAAAACAGAAACAGAATATAATTAACAATTTAACAACATATACTTAATCTATATAAATGTAACTGTTGTCAATTGGTTTCGTGTTCGTTCTCTCTCGTCATTTCAATGTAAATATGTATTTCATTAACTCAAACACACACACACACACACACACACACAAACTCTCACTCACACTTGTATACTAATTCATGTGGTCTCTCTCTCTCTCTCTAAATATATATGAATCTCGCTATAAAAATAAAGACATGCTCTCTCGCTCTTTTCTCTATCGTTATGCATGCTGAGCGCAGCATCCGGCTCTCTACCTCTGTCTCTGTCTCTCACTCGCTGCTTGCACTTGTAACAGCATAGCAAGCAAATTATTTTGGCTCAAAGTAATCGTTCCGGTCAAAAAACCAATTTAATTAGATGTGATTTTAAGTTCACATGCAGTTGAACTTGTGAGTTTTTTAATTACTGAGTCGACTTTTGCATTGCTAAAAACTGAATTTAGTACAAAAAAAAAAGAAAACTTCAGCTTCAAAACTCTCTTCGAATTTTGCAGTTAATCCGTTTATAAAGGGTCAAAATAGTTCCTTGCTGTATTGTAGACACACTAACACACAATCATATATATGTACATACATGCATTCATACAACCTATATACAACTGTAGTATCAAGTCAACGAGAATTGCTTTAACATACATATTCGATAAAAAAAAACAAAACATTCAATTTCACATATATCGAAACCAAGAAGTTCGCAAATTAATAGAGAAAATCCATGTTTTTGGGCCCACCTTCTGGCTGGCCTTTGGCATTCTACATATGTTCGCCGCAGGTGTTCTCTCTGGACTCGCCGGACACGTTCCAGTGCCTGTATTCGCCGGCATTCGCCTCGATTCGCGGCAAGCACATCGAGCGAATTGCCGAGCAGATCGCCACGTTGTGCGCCACGCTGGGCGAATACCCGAATGTGCGCTACCGAAGCGACTGGGATCGCAACATTGATCTGGCTGCCTCGGTCCAACAGAAGCTGGATGCCTACAAGGCCGATGAGCCAACAATGGGCGAGGGGCCGGAGAAAGCGCGTTCCCAGCTGCTAATTTTGGATCGCGGCTTCGATTGTGTGTCGCCACTGCTGCACGAGCTCACATTGCAGGCGATGGCCTACGATCTGTTGCCCATTGTGAACGATGTGTACCGCTATACACCCGGACCCAATCAGCCCGACAAGGAGGTGCTGCTCGATGAGAACGATGATCTATGGGTGGAGCTGCGACACGAGCATATTGCCGTCGTCTCCCAACAGGTCACACAGAATCTGAAGAAGTTTACCGATTCCAAGCGCATGAGTTCCAGTAAGTTACAGCCACAATCTCAAGCTGAATCTGTTGGTGTTGCTGTTTCGTTCGTGCACATACATGTTCGCTTTGGATATTCCAGCAGCTGACAAGTCGTCGATGCGTGACCTGTCCCAGATGATCAAGAAGATGCCGCAGTATCAAAAGGAGCTGTCTAAGTATTCAACACATTTGCATCTGGCTGAGGATTGCATGAAATCGTATCAAAACTATGTGGACAAGCTGTGCCGTGTCGAGCAGGATCTGGCCATGGGCACCGATGCTGAGGGCGAAAAGATCAAGGATCATATGCGCAACATTGTGCCCATATTGCTAGATGCTGTAGGCTCGGCTCAATTGCTCAGTTAACTCATCTATAACTCGAACTAATACGCTTCCTTTTCAGAACGTGTCCAATTACGATAAGGTGCGCATTATTTCGCTCTATGTCATGATTAAGAACGGCATCTCCGAAGAGAATTTGACCAAGCTGTTCACCCATGCACAGCTGTCGGTCAAGGATCAGGACATGGTGCGCAATCTTAGCTATCTTGGTATCAATGTCATTGCCGATGTAAGTACATATACTAAACAACAAATCGAATTCAGCTACGAATCCAAAGCCATTATAAATATGTATACATACATATATATATATATATATATATATTTAGTCACGCAAGAAGATATATTCAGTGCCACGCAAGGAGCGCATCACTGAGAGTACCTATCAGATGTCACGTTGGACACCGGTCATCAAAGACATTATGGAGGATTGCATCGAGGATAAGTTGGATCAGCGTCATTTTCCGTTCCTCGAGGGACGTGCCCAGAATACCAATTATCATGCACCGACCAGCGCCCGCTATGGCCACTGGCACAAGGATAAGGCACAGACACAGGTGAAGAATGTGCCACGTCTCATTATTTTCATAGTCGGTGGCGTAAGCATGTCGGAAATGCGTTGCGCCTACGAGGTGACCAACTCTGTACGTAACTGGGAGGTCCTTGTTGGCTCCTCCCACGTTCTCTCACCCGAAATCTTTCTCAGCGATTTGGGCAGCCTCTCCAAAGAGGATTAAAGACAACACAACACAGCACCACATCCACACCCCAAACACCAAACCCAAAACAAAACACATAAAAACGTGCAACTCAAACACACACACACACACTTACACACCCATACACGATATACAACTATGCTTATTTACATCTAGCCAAAACTGTAAGTTTGTTATTCAATATATGTACGTATATATATATGTATATATTTATATATATATATTCGTTGTCAAGTCTTTGGCTACTTCAAATTGATTGTTCAAACGTATATAGAGCACAGGTGATCTATTCCAGTATAGATACATAGATATGTTTATGTGCACCTCCTAACTAACCAACCCACAAATGGAAATAACAATACACACCCAAGAAACTATATACTATATAAACAATACAACATATATTATTATATATGCAGTTCAATATGTGTAATGGAAAAGCGTTTAATTACAACTCCATATGTATAACTCCCTATTACCTTACCACTTTATACCCGAGTTGTCTAACGAAACATACAGACGCATATAGCTATTATATATATACATGTATATCTATTTTTCAATTATGTATTTATGTGTGTACACGATGTTATTAATTTATGGTAGTTCAATGATATAAACAAAGAAGACAACAAAACCAATTACATATATTACAATTAATGTATGATGTATGTATCCTCACAGCTTCATCTTTGAATAGATCGAATAAGAAAACAATGCAAAAAAAAAAAGAAAAAATCCAAAAAAAAAAAGTGAGGAAAATGGAAAAGACGAAGCAAACTGTTTGTTAATTATTGTATATCACAATTGAGATTTAGTCAAATGTAGTTATGCGAAATTCAGTTTCATATAAAAACAAACGTTGTTGTATTAACTCAAACTGTACATTTGCATCTATGCAGCGTCTGCGGCGTTGTTGCCAGACATTTGCCATAGAATCTGCATAGATGCCTTGAAACGGTCTCTATAAAAAAAAAGAAAGAAAAAACATATTTTTTTTGTAGAAGCCCATATTAATCCCTAACATAACAGAAAAATGTTAATTGTGTTTAACAGAGTCTTTCGATGTTATTCGCAGTATGTGGTTGACGTGTATCAATTTATCAAAATGTAATTACAATTACTCTTTTTTCCATTCGAAATCTAGCACCGTTATGTAGAACCACAATTAACAAAAATGCACACTTAACACTCATCCAATTGGATTCGCTCAGATACAACGCAAAGCGGGTCGCTTTGGTGAAATTTGTGATTCGAATTTTGGGGCGGAAATGAAACCGGCATATTGCATTATGATACATGCTTAAGCAAAAAAAAAAAAGAAAACAAAATTAAAATCTTTGAAAAGCAATATTTAAACATGCAGTTGCAAATACAAATCTTTATATACTGCTATATTAAACTAGGTGTATGTACTAACAGTCTTTCAATTGAAACAGCTTTTGTGCGCCTTCCACAATTCAAGAACTCAACTCAACTACGTGTATTCCAAATCAAATGCAAGAAAACCATTTTTTGATGAAATAGTTTAAAGATAATGCGAAAAGCTTTAAGGAACAAAAACCGATTTCCACATTAATTGTAGGGTTAAAGGTAAAGTTCACAAAAATTAAAAAAATATATTTATATATATTAAAAAAAAAAACGGAAAAATGAGGAAATTTTAGGAATATGATACCAAGGTTATACAAACAACAGAAACCAATATACATACTAATTTTTAGGAATGAATGGCAATGTTAAACGATAAATATTTATACACTATATACAATACCTTATATATATATACTACAAATATCAATCAATATACACATAAAAATGTAATATCTAATACCTATACTTTAATCCTACGAATGCTTCTAATGCGAACGCATTCTAATTGGCAAAGTAGTGAAAAATTGCATTTACTCTAGTACAATACAACCATACTACACACACACATACATACATACATAGATATATGTACATACATACTCTCCGATGTACATACATTGTATGTGTGCGTAAATGTAATGCAATTTCAAACCAAATGCATTTGTTTTTGGTAGTGTACCAAAATATTTATCATACAAACTTACCATATGTATATCTTAATTATAGTATTATGTGTTACTAGTTTTTTCTTCTCGCTTTTCCTCTATTATCATTTAATACTAAAGCAAAATATTTGTTGTATAAAACAAAACAAAAATCAAAAAAGTTTGAATATTATTTAAATACATATATATATATATCGTTATTTTATTATTTGTTTTACATTTGTTTTATCAACTTTTCACTCAAATAATAACAATATGAAATCAAACATGTTCTAAAAACGTAGCTAAGTAAGTTTAAACCAAAACTCTTTACAAATATTTAATACTTATATGGAAACAAATATTTACAACTAATTACAATATATATATTTATTTATATGTATTAGACTTAGATGCCGCCTTGCCCGATTCCAGCACACACACAGATAACCAAACTCACACCTACATCCACACACACACGCACACTCCAATTAGTGCGATTATAACACACACACACACACACTCTAGTGCCTGAACGTCCTGAACTGGAACGAGTCTGAGGCGCATCAAATCGACGAGACAGGTAGACAGACAGACAGACAGACAACAAGAATGAAAGAGAACAACGCACTGACGCCGACGCACACACGCGCACGCATAAATGGTTAGCGAGCGCACACACACACACGCAGGTGGCGCACAACACACGAACATCAGTCAACCACCCCACCAACCAGGGGGGCGCGCGGGGGGCAATTCGCGCCGAACTCTCAGCAACAACAGAGAATCAGGATCACACTGGCGAACTGCCAAACGGCGCTGCGTGCGATGAGTGCGCGCGCTGCTGCGTGTGCGAGCGCGTGCGTGCGTGCGTACGTGAGTGCTGTGCCAGTGCTGGTAATCGTGCGGAATTAGATCGGGCAAGGCGCCGATTATTGTTCGGAATTCACGTTTAAATGTTTATTGCTTGTGAAACAAATAAAACAAATAATGCAAATTATTGATTGTTAGTTAGTCGATGAAGTAAGTAAAGAAAAAGGATCGTAAATTCATTCAATGTTTTTGACAAGATTGAACGGCCGTTTAATATTAAATGTCTAGCCCTTAAGCCAGTATTCTATATATATATGTATATATATATATATACATACATACATTTATGTGTGCATAACTAACTTAAAATCAAACTGGGTCAACAGTCCCTCCAATGTGCAACTGATTTACAGTCCCAACGATGTTCCGATATGGGATGGTATATCGTTGGAACTATATTCGATTAAATCGCACATTGGTATAGGAAGAGTCCAGTTTCCATCTTAAATATGTATTCATTTATTTCTAAAATTATCAGCAACAGCTAAAAAAAAGTATACAACACATACATACATATATGTATTCAGTTAAGAAAACTAACAAAAAAAAAAACGGATCTTTTAAAGATTTCATAATTCTGACCATCTAGCGAAAGAAATAACGTTTTTATGCTAAATAAATTGTCAAGAAATAATTAAATAAATTATTATATTAACATTTAAAGAATTTTTGAAAATTTATATACATTAAAAGCCGAAAGCATTAAACGAAAGCTAAAAAAAATTTATACAGAAACAATTTAATTAAATTCCACATGAGGAATATTTATACATAAATATGTACTTAAGAATTGCTGTCAATTTCTTAAACTTAAATAACAATTACAAATTACTTAACTATTAGCAAGAAAATGCAAAACATTATAAAAATCGAAAACGGGGAACACCCAAAACAAAAATCAAATCACAAGTTTCTGCAGGCGACCGCTTAAAAACAAGAAGTAAGAAAAAATCAGGCAAATTTACAAATATCGAAATAGTGACAACAAACGATAAATGCAAGAAGTTAGCAAATACATATACTATATATTCATATATATACCATATAATAAAAAATTATATTAGAACACGTTTTGAAATCAATTAACATACACTTATTAACGAAACTGTACCAGGGTGCTTGTTGTGGCACCCGACAATTGAAATACAATTCAACTAACAGACAGAACGAAAGTTTGATAGAGAACAACAATAAGCCGATTAAAATAATGTTAACGTGTGACCACGATGCAAATTACAGCGTAATTACATAACTTAATTAACAAAGAAATTATAATAGTCGAACAAATAAAAAATACATCTTTGCATTGCAAAGTTTAAAGCAAGAAACTCAATACTGGCATTATCCAAACACATCCAAACTTAACAACGCACAGAAACCAAAAGAATCCGGGGCGAAGCGTTTTAACCACTACAATTTCAGAATACACTTTTATTTTCAATTTTATATTTTACTAGCGCTTAAAATGAAAAAAAATATGATAAAACAGATGGGAAAAAACCCATTATAATAAATGGAAATAACAAAATTGTAATTGTTGTTTTTTTTTAAGGTTAAATCTTAAAGCATACTTTTAAGGCAAACAAACAATAGGGGGACCAGTCTACAGTGGAACTAGTTTCTGAAAATCAAAATCTTAAAGCATACTTTTAAGGCAAACAGAGAATAGGGGGACCAGTCACCAGTGGAACTAGTTTCTGAAAATCATAATCTTAAAGCATACTTTTTGGACAAATCCGAGGGCAATTGTCCCAATTCCTGTGAAGGAATCCAACTCGAACTCGGCACAAAACCTTACTTATTTTTGACTTCGAATTGGTGCGATAGAATCGCAATCACATGCAACAAAATTTCAAAATACGTCATGCTGCAAAATATGTTATATCTTCGCCAAAAAAAATATCCAATTTCCGAAATCCTTTCAACATTATACAGGCCTTTTACCTTTATATATTCATTTTGCATCAAATGTTCCGAGAAATGCACGTTTTACCATGAAGTCATTTCTCAAAGATTACACAGTTCAGGAATAATTACAAAATGCGGTTGTTACTTAATCTGTTATATTTTTAAAGTTTAATATTTGCATTTGCTTTGAATAACATTGTTTAATGCATGTTCATTTCTCTGCTTAAATTTACATGTAAAATTAAAAGTATAATTGGATGCATTTGCATATTTATATAAATAATATAAAAATATTAACTTTTATCGATTTTAAATATTATTTTTTTCCAGATACTTTATGTGTAAGTAAATACAAATATATATATATACTTACATATATATATAAATAAACAGTTGTATATATAAAGGGTACGGAAACACACAATTATTTTTTATATTTTTATTAATTTATATAGGATATTATTTGCAATTCCTACAATTTATATACTATGTGTGTATATATATTTTGGAAAAATGTGTATTTAAAGCGTTTCATGTATTATCAATATTATTTATAACAATTGTTGAAATATTTACAATGAACAGAGAATTATAAAATGTGTTCTCTCTCGCTCTCGAGTAAAGTTGAACTTTAACAATATAAATATATATATAAATATATATATATATATATATAGATGTATACAGGTATATATATATACTATATAAGGTTTAGCACAGCTGGAAAAATGACTGTCCTAAATTGTGTATGACTGTATAACGGTTTAACTGTATGACTGTATGACAGTTGAGGCTGCTTTCTCACTTAAACTTTAATTACAAAAATATAATATGTATGTTTGTTTGCATGTTGGCTAGTGTGCGGGCATTGTGTGTGTGTATGTGTGTGTGTGTGTGTGTACATATATATATAAGCTATTTGTATATACATATGTAAATATGTATCTTTACATTATTTGCAACTACTCTACGCCTATGATATGTATATATGCATTACAAGGGAACAGTCGAAAGTGTTGGGCTACACACTTTAATTGAGTTAAGGAAACAAACAAAAAAAAAAAACGAAAAAAAAATAATGAAAACACTCAAACACACTCACACGCCCACTCATAAATCATTTACAACTTGCCGATTATGAAAACTATATATCGACACATACATATATAATAATACAAATTGAGTTCAATAAAAAATAAACAGTACTAAACCGAATTCGGAATATGCTTTATAGCTATCTACTTTGATGTTCAGTATAACTGTTCCAATCGAACGCTCAGTACTGATCCAACTCGCAGATTAAATTGTTCGACTTCCTCGCATCCCCGTTCTCAGTAGGGTCGTCCATTGGTCGTATTGCCGTAGTAGGATGGACGATCGGGAAGCCTTGGGGGCGCATTCATACCGGGCCGGCTGTGAAGAGTAAATTAAGAGAAAGAGTCAATAAAAAAAATGTACATTATTTAATGCAACGTTGAATGCTACGTACTTAAAGCAAATTTGCATGTGAGATGTAAACAGTTAAATACGAGCAAAGAAGTTATTATATATTTAATAATGAATTAGATAGTGAAGAGTCAACTCACCGGCAGGACAGGAAACTTATGTTAGTTCATTGCTCACATTGAGATCACTTACTGGTTTAAGAGAATGGCGAAAGCGAAACCAACACCAAACGAATTGAAATAACAGAGGAAATGTTAACAGGACGAGCCAAAAGGAGGGACAAATAGAGCAAAGCACGCAGCTTAATTCGATTTTTTAAAATTGTTTTTCTTTTCTTTTTTTTTTAATGCATGAATGACAACGCCAGATCCAATTGGACTTTGTGCGTATAACAGAGAAATGCAGAGGCAAATGATTAACAGCAGCCATTAACAGCCCTGTTAGCTGATTACACTTGCAACTATGCCTGTGGCTCATTCCAACTCTTGTGTCAATCCAATCTCTTATGTGTGTTGGTTGGTTGGTTGTTTGGTTGGGAGAGCACAATGCTGGCCAAAAGCTT